GTATTTTCTTTTTTATTTTCATCATAATCTATTATTTATTTATTTATTTATTAAAATAGTACCCAGCATTTGGAGGTCAACTAACGAACTTCATATTTGGCTATAATTTTGATACTCATCAAGGCAAATGTGCAGGTTACGAATGTTATAAAGATATTTTTCACTATAGTCTCCTTTTGTGTTTATTAAGTATATGTATTTCTTCTTGGTTGTTATCGTGGAGGATTAGACGACACGTATAATAGTTGTTTAAAAAGTTAGCGGTTATTTTGAGATGGAATATGAAGTTCTGTTATTATAGAGCTCGTTCTGTTTTTTATCGTGATAAACATAAATTATTAGAATTGTTTAATATAATAACTGAACAATACCTTCAATGCATTCTTTTGGTAAAAAACGAATTGCACACTTTAGAGGTGTGCAAAATATATAAAGCTTATACATCGTGCAATTAGCAAGTATTTATGTATGCATCATTGATGTCTGACTATATTATAATTCATATAATGCTTTAATACGTATAATTTGTTATTCTATTTTTAGGGTTCTCAGTCTTTTGTTAAAGTAATTTTGAGCTTTGATATGTACAGTGGGTTATATTCATTTACAATGATAGGTAGAGCAATGCTGTTAAATAATAATGTATTGGCGATTTTTTTTTTTTTTTTTTTTCATAATTCAATAAATCATATTATAATTAAAAAAATGTTGTTTTAACATTATCGGACAAGGAAATAAAATCAGATATAAATTAGCAATTAAAGATTAGTGGTACATCATGTTCTAAATAAAGTTAATAACTGATAAGTTACAATCACTTATATTTTCAAATAAATAAAAATGGAATAATAGAACTGTATTTACAACAAAATAGATTTTATATAACGAAAGCCGTCTCATACACGCGAAAAATTAATTACAAAGGCACATGTTTCGATATACTATCGCCATGTAAATCAAAACTATATATGGTATCCAGTATTGGCTTGACCAGACCGGTTTGACCGGTCCAGTCAAGGATTTGTACTGGTCAAATTGGTCAAATGATTATTATAAAAAATATACAAATAGATTTGACCAATTTGACCAGTTTGACTAATTTGATCAATTCGACAAGACCAATTTGACCAGCAAATTTTTGGTCGACCACTAATTTGCCCAACGCTGATGGTATCATAAAAAATTTTAATATCAAAGATTTTTCGTGTAATTTAATTCATTAATACTTACGAAATATCTGGTAAATAACATTTATTTGGTTTTCTTTTCACGATTGGTATGATAACTAATGCATTCAACCCCTTTAGGAAAAAGTTTATTTGCGATAGCAAGTAGAGTTACTGGCTTAAGCTTTGAATGTTCTACACCTTGAAAAATTTGGTCGTAATAAGTACGTGAGGCATAATATTCTAATATTTGAATGAATGAGCTAAGTCTTTTGTTTTGCATTTTAATTAGTATATTCGCTATATTCATTAGATACATTATATTCATGAGATTCATTATATTCATTATATCATTATATATGCTAGATTTATTAGATTTCACAATATAAAAATGTATTGCAGTATATTTGGAAAGTTCAGTTTTCGGATAAACTCAATAAAGGATACACAGTTAATAATAACAACGCCTCTTTTGAGAACTTGTTTAACGAGTGTTTACACTGATATCGAATAGTTGAAGCGCGCTATTCTCTTTGTTAGTTGAAATTCCCGATGTCACAATTTCAACAATGTATCTATGTTCTTTTTTATCACGGCAATAAACATCTAAAAGAGAGCTTTTAGCATCGAGGTTGCTCTTGATGCGTTAATTCAACTTCTTCAATCAATCATATCATCACCCTCTCGTCTTAATATCAAGTTTAAAAAGCTTAATAAAAGTGGCTTGTTTTGTTTCATACCAAACATCTTTTTGAAACTATGCCATTTTTAGGATCAAAAAAACAACCAGCAAGTCTAACTTCTAAATTTCTTAATTGATCAAATCTTATTTACAAATTAGTAGGGGTTTGTACTTTAAAATTTTGAAATAGAAAATATGTAGTTAAAAAAATAAACAATAATTGTTAATAAGGGGCGTGCCATAATATTTTTTACTTAATGACCCTCTCTATCCATGTATGGTGTGATCTTAATTCTGATTGGTTATATATATAGACGTGATCACTAGCTGACCCATGTATCCATGGTAAAAATCACGTAATAAATGGCACTCCCCTAAGTATTATTGATAAATATAATCATATAAATAAGCTTACGCTTAATATAAAATTAGATCGCTTATTTTGAAACAAATACTGTACATGCTGCCAAGAGAAAATATAAATTATTGATTATTTATCTGATTCAGCCCATGGCTTTAAATTATGTGACGTTCCCCTGAAGCCATGGGCTGAATCAGAATAATTTATTAAAAAAAAAAAAAACAAAGTTACATTTTCTCTTGGCAGCATTCACATCTCTTATTTCTTTAGAAATAGAGGTGTTTGATTTTTGAAACCCACTAAAAGTATTGGGGTTTCAAAATTAAAATCAGAAAATTTTTCCGATTTATAAGTCATTATAACGATAATAAAAATATTATATATTTAAAAATTCTAAAATGCGCTACTTATTTATTTATTAATTTTGAAACCCCAATTATGTTAATAATAAATAAATACGTATATTTTGATAGTTT